GTTTTTGTTATTTGATATGAGAACAAACGAAAGATGTAGAAAATAAGACATGAATTCTCCACAATAAAAAAGGGATGTAGGGATGTAGCGCAGCTTGGGAAGCGTTTGTTTAAATTGACTAATTGTCAAAAAACAAAATCTCCTAGTCTTATAATCAATCAGATTAATCAAGTGCTAGTTTGGTAACTACTCAATCCAGGAAGTTTAACATTCCTAATCTCTGAAAAGTATATGGCTAATCTGCATGAAATATTCATAGTAGAAATACTGAAAAAGCAGTTGATTTCTATGTTTAATATATTTAGCCATCACTAATATCATAAATAAACATATTACCCTTTTAGCCAAAAATAAAAGGATAAACATATGCATTTTTAGCCAAAATTAAAAGAATAAACATATGACCCTTTTAGCAAAAACAAAATAAACACATGACCTACCCATTAACCTCCACCTAACTACAAGCACATTCACATTTTACACACTCTCTTGCTTCCAGCCATCTGCACGAAATAAAAGTAAAACAAGCTTGACTTTTCTCGACGTCACGCAAATCAAATGTTTTTCTCCACGAAACAAAACTAAAACAAGCTTGACTTTTCTCGACGTGTTTCTCCACGTGGTGATTGTTCTGTAATCTAACAACTAGAATTCCCATTTCTTTTTCTTTTCTTTTTTTAGAAAGAGTTCCCATTTTTTGTTTTTATATATATATAGAAGTTTTTTTTTTTMTTTTMAAAAAAATCGGTTTTCAAGTTTCTTTTGCTATGGATTTTGGATATGTAGAATGAAAGAAGAAGGTGCCAGAAAGAGCTCCAATTTTTTTGTTAATAGAAGTTTTATATTGTTAACATCATTTTTTTCTTTGCAATGATAATTTTAAATGAAAACGTAAATAAAAACATTGGACATATTTAAGTTTAATGGACCAATGAGTTACATATTTTTTCTCAACAAAAAAAAAAAGTTACATATGACTCATAGTATATGCAATAACATATATACAATGGTATTATTTTGACTTTTGTTCCGGTGCACATCGGTAGAACCGTAGATGTAATAAAGGTAAAAAAAAAAAATTTTTAAAAAATGGATTAAAGAGATTCTA